AGGGTATTTTAGGTGCTCCAAAGTTATTATTTTTTCAGCAACAGGAAAGGTTGTAGATTAGGGTGATGCATAGATTTGTGTTCACACAGATATTAACAGACATTTCTCTGGGGAAAGATGCTTCCCTGAGCCACACACCTCTGGTTTTTCTGAGATTAAGAGACCATGCTTCCAAGCTAAAAAGTAACAGTGTGGTTGGAGTTATAAAAGTACTTCTCCCTTATTATGATGAGGATGCTGGCAGCCCCCAAAACAAAGAACCTTCCCAGCAAAAAAAGAAACACAAAAGCCGGAACAGTTTGGGATGGCTGAATGACACCTAAAGATGACAGCCTTGTCCCTCATAGTGTCATTAACGCTCACCATGCATGTCATGTTTATGACATCCCCTTCAAATAAAGTATTGTTGTCATTTTTGTCACTTTTTTAATAGGAAGTGAATTACCTCTGCTTATTATACAGTTGTAGTAACTGTTGTTGTGAACGTAGCATGAAAGCAATAGGCTGGCAGAGAGTGGACCCACCAGAGCCGGAGAGCTGGGTGACAAATCTACAGGATGGGCTCACTTTGGGTTTGTTCATCTTCTGTCTGAATTTACCTTGTTATATCTTCAAAATTCACCAGACTTTTTTCATTTGAGGCCATGATTTGTATTTAATTTTTGCATTTTCTCATGGAGGATCATGGTCCTAAGATTCTTCTCTGAGTGAATATTGGAGATGGTGAAGTGTCTTTGTATCGGTCTGGTCCAATAAATTATTTATTTTATAGGTTATGTGTTAAAAGTGGGTCATATAAATTCTGTTTGTTTTATATTTATATATAAATAACAAACAGAATTTAACACAAAAATAAAATTAGGTTTTTATGTCTCGATGTTATACATTGAATTTTTAAATAAAAAAAATTTAAACATTTTTCCAACTTAAAATCTAAAGGGGTTTTTGAAGTAGAGAACAACAATCAATCAGTTTGGTATACAGACAATTTCCTGACTCACATATTTGATCAAACACCTGAACTGAGCTTTAATTTTCTTTCTTTTTTCTGGCTTAATGAGAGCAGTGGGCTTTATGCTGTCCTGCAAGGCTTTAAACCTGGGTTTGAAAGGAGACAAAGCCATTTTAAAGCACATATCAAGGAGCTCATTTTGAGCCTGGATCCATATTTATTTTTGATTCTGTTCATGGTGGAGAATCCTGCTTCACAGCAGCAGGTTGAGCCAAAAATCCTCTAAATGTGCAGGGTCATCTTTGAGCACGCCATTTCACTTTTCTTTCACCAGTCCACTGCAGTTCTTCCAGCAGTC